AAGAGTTGCTTCTATCATAGGATGCTTAATTTGGAACCCTTCACTGTTTTGTGGTTGGCCTTTTCCCCCTCCCCCCTAGTAGCAGCCATTCTGTGATTGGCCCCAATACCTCATGACCTCCGTTTTGTGGAGGTGCTCACTGCCTTAAAATTCTACCTCACTACCTCAAATTTGGGGAGTCAGGGGACCCCTGCATTAGCACTCGCTGTCAAAATAACTTGGGCTGGGTTAGGGTTAGGCTCATTAATTCTATTTCAGATGTTCTTTAAGAGAACTCCAGCATTGCTTCTAGAGTGGGAGCCTGGAGTTGGCTATGAATACAAATATTTTGTGGTCTTTGCAACCACTTTTTTAAATACGTGAGTTTTTGTTCCTTTTCTTTCTTTATGCCCTGCAGATTCCCCAGTGAACAAACCAAGGACAGTGATCTGGAGGATCTGGCAAAACTCAAGGGATGAGCCAAGATTTCATTGTAATAAATAAAACTGCACACGCCACCGGCTGTTGGCCGGGCTTCTGCTAGCCTGCCCTGATCTCTCCCGTTGACCAGAAAGCACTGGATTTGAATGCAAGGAGATCTTCTCTTCTTTTGTTACTAACCACAGACCGTTTACACTTCTCCTCAAACCCTCTGACCCACAGATTCTTCTTCTATTTATTTTGTTAGTTTGTTAGTTTTTATTTTTTATCTTTTGGGGGGAGGGGACGGGGTGGGGAAGGTGGTGAGATGAGTCCTCTCAGTTTTTTTTGTTATTGTTGCTGTTTTGCTCTTTTTTGGAGCCAGTAGAACCATTTTATGAATTGGGTTTCTGTGATCGTGCATAGGTAGCTTTATTGAGGAATATTTTTATTTTGGTTTGGAAATCTTTTTTTTTTGTTTTATATATATATATATATTGTGAGTTGGGGGCGTGGTGGGACAGACTCGGTCATGAGAAAAAGTCCTTTTTAAAGGACGTTGATATAAACTGAAAGCAGTTTTGAAGGGAAGAGAAAGCTGAGAGGCTTGATGCGATTGATAGTTTTTCTCTTTTCTTCTGTCAATGTGAGGTTTTTAAAATGTGCAGAATTAGCAGGATGTGAATGCTCGGAGGGCATTGCTGTGGAACAAACGCGAACTGTATATTTTGCTAAGTGAAAAAAAACACTATTCCCTATGGGTTGAAAGGGTTTTTTTTTTCCTTTCCTTTTTCTCTAGATTTTAGGTTTCTGTGGGTTTATTATTGTTATGCTTTTTTTCCTTGACCTTCCTGTATCATCTGTAAATATGACAAGGGATTCCTGGGCCTTGTCTCCATAGAGCAATTTTGGGTTTGCTTTCTTTTCCCCCCTTTTTCCTTCTGGGCTTTGATGCCGTAAATGTGAGCAATACTCTCCAGCTGGACCATGATGAACCTCCTTTCTTTTTTATACCTTTTAATGTAAGATTTTAAGACCTCTGATGTGACAGAAGTGTGGTGGGGTGGGTACGAGGGGTGTGTGTGCGCGTGCATGCGTGTGCAGGGGTGGAGAAGGGAGGTGGCTGAACCAGCCGTGGGCTGCCTTGCGGAGCAGTTTCCAGCAGGCATTGCTTCTGTTGCAGCGCCAGCATATGCTTCAGCAAAGGGCTTCGGCTGCCGCCACCAGTCTCTGTTAACACTGTTGATGAACTTTAACTCTCCCAATATTTATTGCTTCCTGCAAAAGGGGTCGTCGCCCACAGGGAGGCTTGGGGTGCTGTGGCATGGGCCATCAGGGGTGACAATTCAGACACTGGACAAAGGGAGTATTGCTAGCTAGGGAGATTCAGAATGCTACTCAGGGATCCTGTGAGAGAAGAGCTGCAGCTTCTCACTGTCCTTACGCAGCCATTATTTCATTGGCCAGACAAGAGAGGTGCTGGGGCCCAAGCTCATCTGTGCACCTATTCAGAGGCCCTCTCCATGCAGATAGCGGTCCCCACCTATGTTTCCCACTAAACATTCCCTACCCTGTTTCATAGAGTCTTGGGGTTTTTTGCTCCCACTGTCAAAAGCTGTCGAGACTGAGATCAAGATACAGGATTGTCCCTCTACAGCATTTGTGGGGGATGCTCATGTTCACAAAGTAATTTGAAGTGGTTTGTTTTATAGGCATCTTCCCCCCTTGGGTACAATAGTCTGCAGTGTGCATTGCACTACTTAATAGGTGGGGCAGCAAGCTAATGCTTGCTAAGCCTTCCCTTGGAACTGGAGTGTTGCCCTTAATGGGCTTTTGGATATCATCTGGCTCTTGAACATAAACTGAATCCTAAGAGTTGGAAGATATCTGAAAGCCCATTTATGAAACCAGCATCTGCTTTCCCCAGAGGCAAATCTGCCTTGATGAAGAACCAGAGCATCACTCTCTGCTGTGGGATTTTGGATGCTGTTTGAGGCTGCAGCACTGCTGAAACTAAGCAGATGTGGGCTTGATGAGCCCTCTGGATGAGAGACCTCTGCACCCCTATGTTAAAAGTAGGATATGCCTCATAAGTAAATAGAGGACTGCTCTTGGCCTCATAGCTTCCTTCTTCTAGTCTCCTCCCCATAAAATTAATTGACAAGGGCATTTTACATGTTGCATTTACACCTGAGAAATTTTAAGCGTACATCTAGTAAAGCAAATGTGGCAAACCTGGATGTATACTCCTCAGGGGGGCTCCATGGGCTGCAACTCCTTTTTGAGGGTTCACTCAGTACCAAACCCAGATCTGACACTCCATAATGCGAAAATGGCCCTTAGCAAGATTTTGCTAATGAAACTTCCCAATTGCATCAAGAACCTGAAGGGAGAACTGCTTTCAGGGGCAAGTCTAGGTCTGAAATTTGTTTGAACTGGAACCAAAGACCTTGCTTAAGGGGAGCGACTGAGCGTTTTATTAAGATGCAGCTTGACACTTACTCCCAGGGAAAATAACATAACTTCATCTTAAATTTTAAAATAAAGAACACCTTTCCTCCCCCTCCCCAACGTTGCCCCTTTGAGCAAGAGAAAAAGGAGGGTGGGCCCCCCACTGTCCTCCCCTTCTTAGGCTGGCAACAGCAAGGGTTGAAAACCACAATGGGTCTTCACAACCCATGGTGAGTACCCCATTTCTTTTCTGGCCAAATATGTTTCCCTTTAGTTTTGGTGATAAGGGGTTTTGGGAGCATTACAAAAATTGGCAGCACTCATTTGACCAATGGCTGTATTGAGAGATGAAAAAATGAAGAAGTGATTCAAAAGCCGCATCAAAAAGTTGTGGACTGTACCATTTGGAGCTGCCAGAGTGGTGTGCATGTCTGAATGCACTGTCAGCTAAAATTCATATTCTGAAAACCAGCATTAAATATGCAGGCTAGTCTTCTCCCTGAAATACTAGCATTTGGTTTTCATATTGCAGTGCAAATATCATGGAGAGTGCCCCCCCCCCCCGCCGCCTTTACAGTCTGAAGTGGTACAATCCAGCTTTCCTGTTGGATTTGGATGGTATAAAAACTGGCACCTGAATTCCCATCCCATGAGTAAGGATGACTCCAGCAGAATGGTTTCAGCTCTCTTAAGAACCCCCCCCCCATCCTTTCCCTTTTTCTACTTCTCCCCTTAGAATTGCTCTCTTGTCCATGAATCTCAAGTATTACAGGCCCCCAACCCTAAGCAGCTTGAAAAATATTGGGAGAGTTCTCTTTTTGGGGTAGGGTGGGAAGAAAGGGGGGTACTTAGCTAAATAGTACTGGAAACACAAAGCAATAATTTTTGTTACTGAGACGAGTCTTGTGTGTCTGTTTTTTTAAAACAAATGAAATTAAAAGAGCAGCAGCAATCGATTGGGTTTTATTTTTATTCTCTCGTCTTCAACTTTGGAGGCTGCGGATGGCACTCTGCCTCCTCCTCGGTACTTATGCTGAGCTGCTTCTGTGCCCGTCTCCCAACCTGTATTGGCCGTACTGCTGAGGTCTGGAATTTGCATTCCAGCCCTCTTGGCTGCTGCCTAGAATTGGAGCTGTGGTTGGGGAGTGGCTGTGTGTGTGTGCGCGTGCGTGTTTTTAAGAAAATAAAGCTGTGGTTTTTATTAAGCCAGTTTTATTACACATCAATGTTTATTCTCTCCATACCTGTAACCCCCTTTTTCCAGATTTTCAGTTTAAAATTCCTAATAAATTATTTGAAAATGGCTTTTGTTTTTTGGTGGTCTGTAGTGGGTCAGTGTTTCAAAGATTCTTTTTCAGCTTGCATTTGAAAAACCTTCCAACATGACAGAGGTAGAGATAAAGGGGATTTAAAAAAAAAATCTTGGTGGATTTTGAATTCATTGTAGTAGCAACAACCATACAAATGACAAGGCAGTTTTGATGATGCAGCCAGCCCAAAAGGTATGCAGGAGATGGGTGATCTGGCTGAGGTATTTATATTTGTTTCTCCACTGAGGAAACATAGATCTGATAGATCACGATGTGGTTGAATTTAGAGCGTGTTGCATGGTGGCAGAGAGTGAAGTATGTCAGCCCATAGGAAATTTTCCTTCACTAGCACCACTAAAAATGACAGGGACGGTGAAAGAATTATGGTCGTAGTCCTCAGTATCTTCAGTTCTTCCTTTGAGGCGGAAGACATCTTGCTGGGTGATTCCCACTGTCCAATCAGGGAGGCAGGAACATTTTTTTTAAACTTCCTGTCTCTTGCCTGTGGGAGTCGCCCTCTTCAGTTCTTTTCCTGCCTCAACAGGGAGAGCAGCTTTGCGTTCATCTAATCTTTAAAACTCTAAATTCCTTATTCAACCTCCTAGTTTGTTGTTGTTGTTCAGTCGCACAGTCGAGTCCGACTCTTCGCGACCCCATGGACCAGCTCCCGCCAGGCCTTCCTGTCTTCCGCCGTCCTCTGAAGTTGGCTCAATTTCATGTTCGTTGCATCTTTGACACTGTCTAACCATCTCATCCTTTGCCGTCCCTGTCTTCTTTGACCTTCAATCTTTCCAAGCATCAGGGTCTTCTCCGGTGAGTGCTCCCTTCTCATTTGGTGGCCAAAGTATTTGAGCTTCAGTTTCATTATCTGGCCTTCCAGGGAACAGTCAGGGTTGATTTCTTTTAGGATTGACTGATTTGATCTTCTTGCAGTCCAAGGGACTCTCAAGAGTCTTCTCCAGCACCATAGTTCAAAAGAATCTACTCTTCGGCGCTCGGCCTTCCTTATAGTCCAACTCTCACAGCCATACATGACTACTGGGAATACCATTGCTTTGACCATGCGGACTTTTGTTGGCAGGGTGATGTCTCTACTTTTTATCATGCTGTTGAGGTTCGCCATCGCTTTCCTCCCAAGGAGCAGGCGTCTTTTAATTTCATGGCTGCAGTCACAGTCTGCGGTGATCTGGGATCCCAGGAACGTGAAGTCTGTCACTACTTCCACGACTTCCCCTTCTATTTGCCAAGGAGTGATGGGGCCGGATGCCATGATCTTAGTTTTTTTGATGTTGAGCTTCAAGCCCACTTTTGCGCTCTCCTCTTTTACCCTGAGCAAGAGGCTCTTTAGGTCCTCTTCACTTTCTGCCATTAGAGTGGTATCGTCTGCATATCTGAGGTTGTTGATCTTTTCCCCAGCAATCTTAATTCCCGCTTGTGATTCATCCAGGCCAGCATTTCGCATGATGTACTCTGCATATATATTAAATAAGCAAGGTGACAGTATACATCCTTGTCGTACTCCTTTTCCTATGCTGAACCAATCAGTTGTTCCATATCCGGTTCTAACTGTCGCTTCTTGGCCCTTATACAGGTTTCTCAAGAGACATGTGAGGTGGTCTGGTACTCCCATCTCTTTAAGGACCTGCCATAGTTTGTTGTGATCCACACAGTCAAAGGCTTTAGCATAGTCAATGAAGCAGAAGTAGATATTTTTCTGGTACTCTCTTGCTTTCTCCATAATCCAGCGAATGTTGGCAATTTGATCTCTAGTTCCTCTACCTCTTCGAAACCCAGCTTGTACTTCTGGTAGTTCTCTATCCACGTACTGTTGAAGCCTAGCTTGTAGGATCTTGAGCATGACCTTGCTAGCGTGTGATATGAGTGCAATTGTGCGATAGTTTGAACATTCCTTGGCATTGCCCTTCTTTGGGATTGGAATGTATACTGATCTTTTCCAATCCTGTGGCCACTGTTGCGTTTTCCAAATTTGCTGGCAAATGGAGTGCAGCACTTTAACAGCATCATCTTCTAAGACTTTGAATAGCTCAGCTGGAATACCATCACCTCCACTAGCTTTGTTGTTAGTAATGCTTTCTAAGGCCCATTTAACTTCACATTCCAGGATGTCTGGCTCGAGGTCAGTGATTATACCGTCGTGGTTGTCAAGGACATCGAGGTCTTTCTTGTATAGTTCTTCTGTGTATTCTTGCCATCTTTTCCTAATCTCTTCTGCTTCTGTTAGGTCCCTACCGTTTTTGTCCTTTATCATGGCCAGCTTTGCATGGAACGCTCCCTTGATTTCTCCAATTTTCTTGAAGAGATCTCTAGTCCTTCCCATTCTATTGTTTTCTTCTATTACTTTGCACTGTTCATTCAGGAAGGCCTCCTTATCTCTCCTTGCTGTTCTCTGGAAATCTGCGTTCAGTTGGGTAAATCTTTCCTTTTCGCCTTTGCCTTTCGCTTTCCTTCTTTCCTCTGCTATTTGTAAAGCCTCATCAGAAAGCCACTTTGCTTTCTTGCATTTCTTTTTCTTTGGGATGGTGGTGATTGCTGTCTCCTGTACAATGTCACGAACGTCTGTCCATAGTTCTTCAGGCACTCTATCTATCAACCTCCTATATTTTCTATTAACTACTTCTATATACTTTCTGTAATTCTTTCACTGTTCTTCCCTATATTCTAACACTTTTTGGAGAAGAACAGCAGTGTTATAGATAGAGGCTGTCTTCAACAGCAGTGGCCATTTTAGGAGACAACGAGGGCTTTCTTCTGCTGAGGAGCTGAACACCCTCCTTGTTGCTGGTGCCGGACAGGGGCAGAAGAGGAGCCAGCATGACCTAAAGCAAGCTTGCCTAGGCTACCCCAACGTGATTGCCTTAATCTGAGGGTGACAAAAAGAGCACCAAAAACTACACTTGTTACATGTGGCTGCTGGAGACCAGAGCAATCAATCTGCAAGGCTGCAGGGAGATTCCTGTTCCATCTGCAGGCCTTGGAAACTAGCAACAACTGGCTAATAGAGAAAGGAATCTCTGTTGGGACACAGACAAGATGCCAGAATTTCAGCGTTCGGGTAATGTATACCAGCCCGGGCTGTTCTTCCTACCTCCTGATTTCCTTCTCTAGAGTCCAGAAGGCTGCTGAGTGCCCCCCCACTCCATAAGCCATATAAGCAACATCTATATATCTAATAGTGAAAGGTGCCCCCTGCGTGCGGATACCTAAATCCGCGCATCTGGGGCACCTGGGGGGGAGGGAGATTTTCGTGCACACTTGGGGCAGTCCCCAGGTGTGCACAAAAATCTGAAAAGGGGGGGAAAATATCGGGGGGAATATTTAAATCCCCCCAAAAGTAACAGAGTGTCCCCTGTGCATGCGCAGGGAACGCTCTGTGAACTGCCTCGCCGCCACTGCCACAGGGGACAGGAGCGCAGCAGAAGGCTTGGCTGGCTGGCGGACAGGCGGGGACTGGCGAGGCCCGGCAGCTACAAGCTGCTGGAGCCTCGCTTCGGTGCGGCAGCGGCGGGGGGCAGGCAAGGCACGACGGCTGCAAGCCGCCAGGCCTCGCTTCGGATCCGGGGGGGGGACAGGGGGGGCACGGCCCCACCGG